AGACTCGTGGGCACGGTTCCTGTTCAGGATGCCACAGGAGGCTCCAGGAGGCTCCAGGAGGCCACAACACGTACCAGGAGATATCATTGATATCTCTTGGTGCGGCTCCAGGAGGCCACAGGAAGCCACAGGAGGCTCCAGGAGGCTCCAAGAGGCACCGGGAGGCCCCAAGAGGGTCCAGGAGGTTTCAGGAGTTCCAGGATGCCACAGGAGGCCACAGGAGGCCACAAGAAACGCCAGGAGGCACCAGGTGGCTCCAAGAGTCCCCAGGAGCAGGAGGCCTCAGAAAGCCACGGGAATGGCTCCAATCTCATGTGTTGTACGTATGCTCCTATAGATTCTGCCTCCCTTTGTGCACGAATCCTTTTTGTGTTGTTCCAATTTCCATTTTTTAAAGATCTAGCCTCCCCTGCGGCACGAGAACTTGGTGTTTTACGCGTGTTCCTATATACTGCCCTTCTCTTGCGGCTCCAATTAGGGTTGTTTCCCGTTTATCTGTTCGTATCGATTGAGCTTCTCTTGGGGCACGAATCATCCCCATGAGGCTCCAGGAGGCCACACAAGGCCACATGAGACCTCAGGAGGCCACAGGAACCCTCAAGAGGCTACAGGAGGCCTCAAGAGGTTCCAGGAGGCCCCAGGACGCCCCAGGAGGTTTCAGGAGGCCCCAGGAGGCCCCAGGCTCATGCGCAGAGACGCGCTCGTGCTACTGAGACTCATTCACACTCCAACTCATTCACAGTTCGATTCGCTCACAGACTGTCAATGCCTAAGCCCATGACTCTTCGAAACTTCTTGCGCTTCGACGCTCACGGCGGACAAGTCCATGCGAGTATATGCAGAGATGGGGAGCTCCACGCAGTGAGTAGTTTTTGATATGGATGTCGCGGGTGGGGAAGCGCATCGGGTTGGTTGCGCATGCTCTGGATTTGGAGGGAGAGAGAGTGTCTGTTGCTTTGATTCTTCCCCATGCATCCTGCGGTGTTGGGTCCTCGTTTTGAAGAGAGCGCCCCGCGTTCTCCTCCTCCTCTCCACTCCTCCTCCCCCCCTCCCTCCTCCCATCACCACCACCATCTCATCATAAGGATCATCATAGTCATCGTCATCACCAACGTCATCACCATCATCATCGCCGCCATCATCACGACCACTATCATCACCATCAACTTCATCATCGTCGCTGTCGTCATCACCATCACCCATCACACGTGTCGTGGCCCTTAGGGAGCTCCACCAAGGGCCCCAGTGGCTGCGGTCGCATGGCGGCACCGCACCCATTTCGGCACACCTCTCACACGTTTCGTGGCCCCATAGGGCGCTCCACCGAGGGCCCCAGTGGCTGCGTTCGCATGGTGGCACCGCACCCATTCCGGCACACCTCTCACACGTTTCGTGGCCCCATAGGGCCGTCCACCGAGGGCCCCAGTGGTTGCGTTCGCATGGCGGCACCGCGCCCATTTCGGCACACCCATCGTTTCGTGGCCCCATAGGGAGCTCCACCGAAAGCGGTACTCTCAATAGCAGTATGGTTGGGTCTTTCGCCAGGATAATTTTCTGACAAGGATGGTTGGGGGGGGGCGATCATTGGGTCGGCATTGTTTTTGGCTCGATGTCAGTCGCCGAGGGGAGGGAGTGTATATTCATAGGGGGCAGTGATCAAGCGATCCACCTAGATAGCAGGGCGTTTAGCTCACTCCCACCCGCCCTCCCGAAACAAAAGTAACACTCGAGTGTCAGCAGATCGCCCAGGAACGCCGCGCATGCCATGCGCGCTACGGGTTCCAGGTGCACAAGGCACCCTGGAGGCCCAAGCGTGCCAGGTGCGGCACATGCTCCACGTGCGCCAACGGCGCCACGTGGTCCAGCCGCGCCAGGTGCGCCAGCTACGGGGAACCAACAGGAACCACCAGTGCCTGGGGCTCCGGCCCAAAGAAGTTCAGGATCTTGAATGCCCCCGAAACGACGTGCAGAGCATTCTGTGAGACGGGCGGCTCCTCCAGGAAGCGCAAATCACCGGCATCGATGGACAAATTCTGACGTCTTGAGGCGTCGTGAAACAGATGAGGGCTCAGAACAAAAAGGGCCCTGCGCATGCTCCAGATTTGTAGCCACAGTGTATGTTTGTATTGTTTTTCGACAGCCTGCGCGCAGCAAGCAATATGCGGGCATCCCCGCCGCCCATGTCAGCACCAATGCAAAGTGGTTCCGGGGCGCCCGCGCATGCGCTAGATTTGGATGCAAAGTGGATGTCGTTTCGTTTTTTACAGATGGTGGTGAGGGGGGGGCGTTTCTTGGTCCAGGTCGGCTGAATATCGCCTGGAAGAGGGGGTGTTTGTTAATTCTGATCAGTGATCAGCCCCTCCCCGAAGGGGAAGAGCGGGGGTTAGAAAGAAGAAATGTGCTAAACCTTTCACGCCTTAAATGGCTGGTGGGATTCATCCATGATGCTGTGCGTGATTTGGCCTAGATGTGTGTCACACGGCGCGCACTTCGCTTCGATCAATCAACAGAGTACGCCAGTCGCTTAGCGGTGGTTTCAGCGCCAATTTGTAGCCTCAAGCGGAGCCCAGTGGCCCCTCAAGCAGACGGGCGCCCTGAAGGCGTCGACTGCACAGATGCGTCCTCCTCTTCCACGCTGGAATATGCGGTGTCTTGCGAGAAGGCAGTGGCAGCCATCGTTAATATTGAAGCTGATAAGGCCATTGTCAAGGATGTTCTTTCAATCGGATGTAGGGTGTCTGGAGCAGGTGTCGGTTGCCAAAAGCGTGCGCATGTCTATGATCGGCTCATTGAGGCCAGAGGTATTCCAGTTGTCTGAATTTTTTCCAGCTTCAAGCACAGGTACCGGCGCAATTGCATAATAAATGCATCCACCGCGTGTTCATCCCGATTCCACTTGATGACCACGTACATGGTGAGCGCTAGCCGAGCCGCCGTAAGTTGAAATACGACGTCGCACCATCATCGTGAAGCACGATGCTTCGCTCTCGAACCTGCGAACAGACATGTTACAACACATGCAGTTTCGATGAGTTTCGAGCCGTCCCAGTGATTCCAGGAATGCAACTGCCTGCATCCCATTTATTGTACAGATATAAGTAACCTGCAGTGGAGGTAGTGCGGCGTGACGCGTCGGAAGTCCATACGTCAGCGTATGGATATCGCGACATGATTTTGGGATTGTGTGTATGATGTCGTGAGATCGCGCGGAAGGGTGCAGCCAGCCGCGAGCATCTCAGCAGCCAGGCGTGCGGTTCTAGATACATTATTCGCGTTTGGTTAGCCTCAGGCTCGACTGTGGCCTGCGCTCCTCATCTCAAGGTAACTGCCGACGTCTCTAGTCCATGTACATCAGATTCTGCACGCTGCGCAGCACTCTGCTTCTGCCAGAGCATTGTCACGGTCAGCGGCTTGTGTTACGGCGCCAGATTTATCGCTCCCAAATGACAATGGCCGCGCTTCCCACGTATTCGATACTGTTCATATTTCATCGCATCGCAGTTTGCGTGCCCTGGTCTGGTTTCGAAGGATGGATAGCGGGGCAATGGCCGACAACATAAAGCCAGACATGGTGGTTGGATGGAATGTGGAGGGAGGAAGGTTTGGAGGTGGGCAGGGATGGGGGGGTGCCGGAGCGGCGGGCTCGGCAGTGTCATGGTCAGGCTGGTAGGTTTTTAGATTTTGGCGTGCTTTGGCTAGGGCTTGGGCTTTTGGGTCTACTGGTGCGTATGCACCCTGGTCCGCTTCGACGATGCAGATATTCAGCCTGGGAGCGGGAAGGAAGGAGGGGGTAGAACGAAGGGGGGAACGACGACGAGTGAACAACCAGGGAGGGTGAGAATTTCAGGAGGGGGTGCAGGGGGAGGGGGTCCCGACCATGGCGGGGTTGGGGGGGAGGGGCATGAGGGCGGGGCCGACGGCAAGCTGGGTGCGCTCGCGCCACATGTGACACCCCACGCCTCCTTAAATCCCTTTCCATTGAGCCCAGTCCGTTGGTATTCGCCAATCCAGGCATCGAGTTGTCATCCCTTGATCCTTGTGCGCCATTTGCATTGCGACGGGGCCAGGTTCAGGGCGAAAGGAGGGGGCAGGGGGATGCGGAGGACGAGGAGGAGGAGGAACTGGAGGAGGAGGAGGAGGAGGCGCCTCGCAGGCCCGCTGATGAAGAAGGCATTCGAATCTGGTCTTGACCACACGTGCCTCCTCTTCACCCATCTCTCCCAGAGATCGGGTTGAGCAGCCAGTGCCCTTAATAAGGAGGTCTTGCACAACGCCAGTCCGATAGGATGGCAAGTGCATTCCAAGTCGCCGTCGCATGCGCACGAAACCCAAAGCGTTCACCAGAAGCTGCCTCAGGCGACAACGAACGAGGAGGATAGGAGGAAGAGGAGGAGGAGAAGCGGCGGGGTTCATCAAAGTCAGAGGTGGTGGCCCCGGCAACCTTCGGACAGCACACGGCTGCGGGAGGGAGGAGGTCCGACTGCCTAGTCGTTCTTTTCGTAAGTCGGAGTTCGAGTTTTCGACCTGCCGCCTGCGAGCTTCGATCGCAGTGGCCGAAACGTCAGAAACATCAGGAGGAGAAGCCGAGGATGATCAGGAGGAGGAGAACGCCGCAGGCGCCCGCGTCTCGGGGGCTGTGGCCGCGCACCGCCCTCCCGGGCGGCGCCGCGGGACCTCCACCGAGCGGTTGCTCTCCCTGGAGGCAGCAGTGCCGGGAGGCGGCCGCCACAGCGGAGACCAGGAGAGAGTCCGAGGAGGACAAGGCACCCATGTACGGCCACCCTCGCCTCGTTTTCTTCTTTATTGGGCCTCCTGGGAGGCCCTCGTCGCCACCGCTGGATTCGCTTCGACGTTCTGGTCGGAGCGCACCCAGGGCGAGGTCCAGGGCGCAGGGTATTGTTTTTTTCGTTGGCTTCCCCAGTAAAGTTCATTTGAAGTGACGGTGGGGGAGGATGTATGGCGACGGAGCGGGACGGCGGCGGGGAGGATGGACGGGGCAGGTTGCCCTGAAGAAGTACACGAAGGATAAGGGCATGTCCCTGCAAGCGGTGAAGGCGTACACGAAGCAGCTGCTGATTGCATTGCGACACATCCACAGGCCGACGGGTTTTTCCTTCCTCCCACCTCCTGCACGCCTCCTCGATCTCTTCCCCTCCCACCCCTGCTCATTTGGGTCGGCCTGGTGAACCGTTTTTATTGTGCAGAAATTCCCGTGGGGAATGATGAACATCATGGACATATGAAGACGCCAGCTTTGCTGACGAGGAGTAGCACGAGGATCAGGAAGAGAGGAGGACGTAGAAGGGGGGAGCAACATGTGAGGAGAAAGAGGAGGAGGAGGACAATGAGGAGGAGGGCAAACAAATGACAAGAAGGATGGGGGAGGGTAGAAAGGATGGGTTGTATGGATGGGGAGAAGGGAGATCGAGGGAGGCGGAGGAAGGGGGACACGATAGTCGAATTGATTCAGGGAGGGAGGGACTGGAATCGGATTTTTTTCATATAGGCCTTGTCCCAGTGGCCATTCGTCTTAAATTACAACAGAGGGTGATTTAAACACTTTGGCAAGTACCATGTCTGGCCGCAGATTCGCCGTAGGGCCCGAAGAGGCAATAAAGACTGGTTCCTTGTAAATGTTGAGCGGGTTGTGGCATTCTTGCTTTTCGAGCATCCGTCGGTTGGAACGGCCCAGGCGGCCTCTAAATAGGCTAGACTACAGAGTATAGTCACACTAAACTACGATATCGATAGTGGGACCAGTAGTCAGGCCGATTGAGTGAGATCTATAGTGAGATCGATAGTGCTATCGACATTGACATTGATAGTACGATCGATTGTGATATCGATGGTGAGATCGATTGAGTGAGATGGATAGTGAGATCGATCATGAGATCGATGGTGAGCTCGATCCTGGGATTCCGAAATCGGCACAGAATCAGCAACCGGGAACCTGGGAACCCGGAACCGGGAACCTGGGAACCCACGCAAGCTACCGAAATCGGCCCAGGATTTTCGCCAAATATTTCAATATCCGCTAGGACCCCTTCAGTGCAAGCACTGATCAGGGAATGTGGACGTTTGCCGAGGCCGCGGCCAGAGGGAGGATGACGAGGGGGAGGAGGAGGAGAAGAAGGACGATGAGGAGGAAAAGGTGGAGGAGGAGGAGGAAGACGAAGCGGACGAGTGGACATAGGAGGAGGATTCGGACGATGATGAGGAGGATGTGGAGGACGAGAGGGATGACCAGGACACCGTGGACTAGGGGGAACAATAATATTAGCAGGATGGAATTGAAGAAGATGAGGGAGGTGAGGATATCGTGGTGATATCGAGGCGGACGTGGATCGGGATGGACGAAGACGACGATGACCACTAGGACCAGTGGGAGAACGCTGATGGATCACCATAATGGTTTGTGATTGTTTGTCGTTGGCCACAATGGCATCAAAGAGAATGTGCAGTGCTCGGCTCAAGTCTTTTGCCGTCGCGCACGGTGCGTGTACAAAAGCCATGAAACCACTCGCCTGTGCGTGCTTGAGCTACGCGTCTCTGCATCTTCTGGACTGGCCTAGGTCTTGGGTGCGTGGCCGGCCGAGGCCGCTGGTGGTGGGGGCGGGGCGGCGTCTGGACGCATCGCCAGAGCACCTGCTATGCCCCTCGAGCGTGCGAGGCGCGCCGGCCCTGCTTGACATTACTGCGCGGCTCTGTGGGATCCCTCGCACTGCAGCCAACTGAGTATTCACACCTCATGGCTGAGAGGGGGTGGCGCAAACGTCACAGTCTGTGAGCGTGACTTCGTTACTCTTCGGGACAGATGGGAGGAGTCCACGGCGTCGTTCGTCGGAGGAGAGGTGGGCGGAGGGAGGAGGAGGAGGAGGAGGAGGAGGAGGAGGAGGAGGTGGATGGTGACGGAGAGGATGAGGGAATGCGGAGGGAGGAGGAGGAGCGTGGAGGTTGGCGGGTTATCAATGATGAGGTGGAGGAGAAGGAACGTGATACCATGATACGGATGAGGAGGGGGATACGGTGAGCACAAAGCAGGAGTTGGAGGAAGACGGAGGGTCAGGAGAGTGATGATCACGAGGATGGGGGAGAATGAGGAGAATTTGGAAGGGATATGTGGAGAGGAGGCAGATGAGGATAGATGAGGAGGTGGGAGGAGAGAACAATGACCTCATCATCCATCCTTTTCTTTCTCCTTGTTATGTTTGCTTGTGTATCTGTTGCACGACAAGCTATAGGGTTGCTGTCTGAGGCTGAATATGAGCCTAGTCCCGGAAACGGCTCGTCAAGTGCCAGGAGGGGAGCATACGTAACAGTCCAGGAGGCCGCCAGCTATACGTATGCACTAATTGTGACCAGGTCCTCTATCCTTGGCCCAGGATCGGAATGTACGCCCTTCCGACTTGGCCCCGCCCCGCTGGCCCCGGCCCCCCGCCTGCGCGTTCGGCGTTGCTTGCCTGCTTCTCCCCCCTCCTCTTCCCCCTCTGCAGGGCAGCACAGCCTGCCCAGGACCAGCCTGGCGGCGCCTATCAGACATGGTGGTCCTTGCAGGATGGGTCGGGACGACGCCAGGTAGTTGTGGAGCGATTTTCGGGGATCTTGGTCGGGTTCGAACGCCCGGAAGGCCGAACTTGGGAAGAAAGCTTGTTGTGATAGGCGGCAGGCCGATTTGAACGACAGGCTGGGCCCCGTGATGTGCGACTGCCCGCGCGGCAGCATCGTTGATTTAGCAGATCTTCTTCATCCCCGTTCTCTCGGCGGCATCCAGAGGCCTGTTCGGGGCTTCTAGGTCGTCTTAGTGGCTCTATTGGCCGTCTGGCGGTTTCGGAGGCATTCCTGGGGGCCTCTCTGGGCCGTCTTGGGGCCCTCTTGGGGTGCTTGAGGGCCGTCTTGGGGGGATCTTGGGCTGTCTTGGTGCCGTCGTTGGTCCTTCTTCCCTCCTGTTAAGCGGCGCACAATTTTGGGAGACTGGTGGGTGCCGCGAACGCCTCGTGGAGGATGTGAGGGGTGACCGAGGGCCACCCCGTGCGTGCCTCGCACATTGACAGAGGTAAACCGAGTTTTGTGATCGCTGCGAAGGAGAAGGAAAGGAAGCAAACAACTTCGCAGCACGGGGGTCGTCTACTCCCGAGGATGTTTGCCCCCTATGGTTTGTGGCTCTTTTTGGGGGCTCTCGGGGACCTACATTGGGGCGGGAAGGTTTCCATATCCAGCGCCCTGCGAAATCCTCGGGGGTACGTCTCCAAACGGATGGACATGGATAACCCCCCTGGCGCGGACGTAAGTGTACCTTGCCTGCTTGCTCCTGTGTCCGAGGCGGATTCGACGCGGACTCGACGCGGACTCGACGCGGACTTGATGCTCGGCTTCGACGTGGACTCGTGAAATCGACGTTGTCTCGATGCAGATGCGACGCGAATGGCGACGCGATGGGATCGACAAGCTCCCCCGGATATGTAGCATTCAACGCTGTCACGGCCCCAGGTCGGATATCATCCATGCGGACATCAAGCCCGACAACATCTTGATTAGCGCTGGTCACAACATCGTCAAGATATGCGACCTCGGCAGCGCCATGGACCTCACAGAGGCCCTATGGGCGCGCCGCCGTTGTGGTTGTCGTCGTCGTGGTCCTCAAGCTCGTCGTCGTCGTCGCCTTTCCCCTGCTCCTCCTCCTCATCCTGCCCCAGCTCCAGGAGCCTCTGGCTTTATGCATTCCCAGGCATCCGACGTCTTGGTTTGTTCATTGCGCAGGCCCTGGAGCTCAGGACTTCCTCTTGGGAGCGATTTGTTTGTCTGGATCTTTGTATGGATGGCTCCAGAGCCCGAGAACGACATCAAGCCGCGACAAAAACGGTGGAAGACCTCTGCCTCGATTTTCTCACGACAATTTGAGGTCTGGATTACCACCCCCTCACTCCTCCTCCCCCTCTGAGAGCTGAGCTGCTGCAGCCCGATCTGGCGCAGGCAGCTCAGGGAGTGTCGGGCTTCGGCTTCGGCCTCGGGCTCCCCGCGCCACAGGGCACGTTGCGGGAGCGCCGGTCCTCCTCGGGGCACGGCAGGTTCGCGCCGTGTTTGGACGCGGCAGCGACCCCAACGTGCGCGCGTTCAACGTTGAACGCCGCCGATGGCCCGCTTTGGGCCGATGTCCAGTGGCCTGCACTACCGGAAAGCCGCGACCGTTCGCTGTCGAGCGATGCACGCCGTGTCTGAACGGACGTCGAGGTCCTCGCGACGCGAATTGGCCGTAGCGTTTCCCGTGAGCCACCCACTCTACTGACCCAGAGCTGTGACGGCGTGGTTGGTTCAATCCATCTTGGGGCCCGGGACAGTCAAAACACGATTCAAAATAAGAGGTTGGCATTGTGGAAGAGGCCGTGACTCCCGTGGTTCCCGTTTCCGTATTACATCAATCACGACGTCGGAGGTCTAGGTACGTTCGAAACCAACCAAGTTTGGGATGTGTTTTTTGGCTACCGCATGGTCTGTTTGGATATATGTTTTGCCTTTGCCTCTTGGTGGGGCATATAGACAAGGATCTACTCAATCCCCTCGGCCTTCTGGACCCATCACGATTTTCGGAGTTTCAGCGACGACCAAGCGTTATTTCCCTGGGCATGCAATGCGTCATGATGAGATCCGACCGATCCTTGAGATACGGGGCTCATCCGTCCCTCATCCTCGTCCACCCTCCTCCCATCTCCTCCGATCTCATCCCACCTCCTTCTGTTTCCTGGCCCCTACGCGCGTATCTCCTTCTGCCTCATCTTCCTCCTCATGCTTCTTGGTCCTCATCCCTCCTCATCCCTCTCTCCTCGGTGCTATCACGGTGGGGATCTGTCTGACTATTCCTTGGCCCCTTGGTCTCTTTGGTGGCCCAGCCACCACGGAGCTCCATCATTGCCGCGTCCCTTGCGCTGTCTCCAGGTGCAAGGCGGGTCGTGTCCATTCCTCCTGCTACTCCTGGAGGCAGCTGGGGGGTCGTTCGTGGGCCCCCCCTTCGCTGGAGTTGTCTGCCACGGGATGCGGATGCGGGAGTCGAATGAGGTCATGCCGCGGCTGGTCCGCCTCCCGGCTGCCCTCGGGTTGCTGCCCCTGCAGCCCCGAAAGACTGCCCGCAGTTGCCACCAAGTAAGGCTCCTCCTCCTCCTCCTCCTCCTCCTCCTCCTCCTCCTCCTCCTCCTCCTCCTCCTCCTCCTCCTCCATCCTCCTCCTCCTCCTCCTCCTCCTCCTCCTCCTCCTCCTCCTCCTCCTCCTCCTCCAGGATGAAGATAAGGAGGAGGAGGAGTCCTCCTCCTCCTTATCTTCATCCTTCTGCCATCTCTCCATCCTCACCCTCTTCACCCCTCGTCCCGGCGCTCCCCGAGCGGCCGATGTGGGGAACGCAGGCCCAGGCCTCCGGAGCCCTGCCGCCCTGCCGGCGGGGATTCCGTGCCGCGGTACCCTGCCGGGGGCCCGCCGAAGGTGGGGACTCTCCGGGCTGGGGCGTCGACGCCTGCAGAGGGTCGGAGGCAAGTCCGGAAGGCGCACGCAGGCACCGGTCCGAGCTCCAGGACGGGCCCGGATCGGCTCGGCGGTGGCGGTCTGTGCACTCCCGCCGGGTCCGCAGGGGCGGGGAGAGCAGCAATCGAGCCTCGGTTCGTTGTCGCAGCCTTTGGCCCGGCCGCCCACCGCGCACCGATCGCGCGGAGGGCGCAGCGCGCCTCGGGCTCCCGAGGGCGCGCTGGGCACTCGGCAGACTCGTCCGCGTGGCCACGCCTGCTCTTGCAATTGTCGCGCCGGGCATCCCTGCTCTCGCAGCTCCCTGCGGCGTGGAAGATGAGTGCGTGCAGGCTTGTGCACGCCTTGGAGGTTTGAGGCGGAGCGGAGGCGGGGAGTGGTTGTGGGGAGAGGCAGTGGAGATGCGGGAGGGTGGAGGAAAGTGGGGAAACCAAAAGGTAGTGATATATCGCTAATCCCCGGGCCTCTCCCAGTGTGCGTTCTGACCAGAAGTTGGAGGCGACTTCAGCGACGAGGGCCTCCCAGGAGGCCCAGAAAGGGGAAAGCAAGCCAGGTGTCCCTTTTTTTCTTCCTCCGAGAGAGAGAGGAGGGAGGGGAAGGGAGAGGGAAGATGAGGCCTGGGAGTGGGCAGGGGAGGGATGGGGGGGGGTAAGGGAGGAAGGGAGGGGGAGGGGCGAGGGGAGGCCCAGGGCCCCAGGTGGAGCCCACGCCGTACCTTGTGAGTCGCTTCTACAGGGCCCCAGAGCTCTGCCTCTGCAAGGATGCCGCGGGGTGAGGGGTGGAGCTCGGCGGCGAGCGAGGGGGGGAAGTGAGAAGGAGAAGCCCTTCTCAGAAGGCGGCGGGATCTCTTAGAAGCCCCCGCGCCTTACGACAAGTTCTCTGTATCTTCGGGGAAGGCCTAGAACGCTTCTCTGAAGGTCCGAGAACTTCCGAGCCTTCTGGGAAGGCCCGCCCCTTCTCATTTCCCAGGCTCGCCGTCGAAGGGCGCAAGCGTGCGGGCATGGTCAGGGCAACGACGAGCTGTCCAGTCGGCCCCTTTCTGTTTGTTCTTGTTTGCTGCTGCTACAATTCATCGGCAATCGTAGCATCGTGGGGTGTATCTGTATGATGGGTATGCAGGTGCATCCGCAGAGTGTTCTCTTCTTCCCGCTTTCTCGATCCCCTAGCGCTCCTTGTCACCCTCCTGTGCCCTCGCTCCGTGTGCACCCCTTCCCCAGATCCCCTGCCTCTACCCCTCTCATCTCCCCCGTCGCACTCCCTCTCCCCCTTCCCCTTCTCTACGCCCCCTTTTCCCTGCGCTACGCCCTCCAGGCTCACGAACTCTCCCCACTCCTTCTCCGTTCTCCCCCGCACTCCTCCGGCATGGAGTGGGGAGGAGCCTGTAAAAGGACGGAAGAGTACGGCCGAGTTGGAACGGTTGTGGAGGAGGGCGTATTTGGAAGCATGTGCAGGAAGTGGCGGGGTACTGTGTGGGGAAGGTGAAGGGACAGGGAGGAGTGGAGCGGAATGGGGATTAGCTGGGAGGAACGTGGGGAGTATGGGGGCTCATCCGTGTTCACTTTCGGCGCGCGCCCTTCATTTAAAGTGGCGCTACCTCCTACGCCACATGCAGCTGGAGAGGGTTGGGGTCCTGCGCTTGGATCATTGTGTACGCCTGTCTCTTATTTACTTTGAACTTCTTCGGTCGATTCAAGTGGCGCTTTCGCCTCGGCGCCTGTCACACTCCTGCCTCCCCACAGTCAAGGATAAATCACAACCTCTCCCTGATCAGTTCCGGCTTTGCACCAGTCATTCCCACGTGCACAGAATATCGAGATTTTGGATCCGTTCCCATTGGGGCTCAAGCCTTTGGCCTGCCTCGTTCCTTCCTCCTGCTCCCCGCCGCCGATCTCCCCGCCATGGCGGCCACGGTCACTGGCATGGTCAGCTTGCCCGTCCTCCATGAGGCCCTCACCAGCTGCATGTCGCTAGGCCACCTGATGGTGGGCGACGCCAGCATGGCCGCGGCCCTGTGGGAGGGCTACAGGAACGAGAGCTGGAGTCGGCTGGGGGTCTGAGGTGGCCCAGCACGTTCCGGCGAGCAAGAAGAGGATTCGAAATCCGTGGTTAGTGGTTCGAGAAGGGCTTTTTGCATGTTTTGGCCCCGTGAGCCGTTTTCTGCACCCGGGACCGTCGAACACGGATCCACAGTGAAGATCTGCACCGGATGGATCCGGGGAGGGTCCAGAGACCGGTCTTGAGATGTTCTAGCCACAGTTTCCTCTCGGGGCCCCTCGGGTTCAGACCCCCCGCCGCCTCCGGGACGAGAGCGTCCTGGGCTCCAGCGTCGCGTCCGTGGTCAGCGCCGCCCTGGGCGACTACGCTGAGGCTGAGCGCCTGGCCCGGGGCCTGGGCCGCGCGACGGGGCAGGCCCTCCTCGGGGGCGGCCTGCTGTGCGACGTCCCGCTCCTGAAGGAGCTGTCGAAGTGCGGCAGGTCGCGGCGACGTCGACGACGACGACGACGACGTCGGTGACGACTACGTCGACGACGACGGTAACGGTGACGGCGACGACGACGACGACGACGACGACGACGACGACGACGACGACGACGACGACGACGACGACGACGACGACGACGACGACGACGACGACGACGACCGACGTCGACGACGGTGACGACGACGACCGACGTCGACGACGGTGACGACGACGACGACGACGACGACGACGACGACGACAACGCTGACGCTGACGACGACGCTGACGACGCTGGGCGCCGCGGCGAAGTGCGGCAGGTCGTTGGGCGACCTGATCGGGGGCGGCGACGTCGAGTCCGCGCGCCGGCGGTGGACGGAGGAGTCAGGGCACATCAAGGAACCAGGACCACAACATAGTAGGTTCTAGGCCCCCTGGGGCGGAACTCGCCCACCTCGACATGAACGCTTTGACTGTGGTTGTAGTCGAGTCGGCCGTCTGGGACGCCCACCACATTGACCACAACCAGTACCAAGCTGGTTTCAGTGTTCCCGCGATTATCGGCATGCGCGAGGAATCCCCCAGGGTGTGTCCTCGATGTCTAGTCCCCGAAAGGAGTGGCACGAGGAGGTCACGGAGCCCGGGGCGCTGCCGAAGGCCCTCGTGAGCATCAGCATGGCCGGCGGCGGCCTGGCGGTGTGTTTGGCAACGGCGGGACTCGCCATGCCTGTGTACGTCGGCGTCTCCGCCTTCGTGGGCGCGGCGTTCACGGTCGCGGGCGCCGCCGCCTGCCAGGGCTTGGACAAGCTCAATGGGAGGAGGGAAGGCCCCATCGTTGGGGAGGGAAAGGTACCGATGTCGCAGCTAATCCTGGAGAGCCCCCGTCGCCACGGCTAGATTCTCCTCGAGGTTCTGTCGGGTATAGCCAGGACCTCAGGTAAGGGGACCCAGTTAGTAGTAGGGCCCCGGAGCCCCTGAATTCACCAGGATCACTAAACCAGGTCTGCCGTAGCTGTTTTTTTTCGAGAGACGGCACTTCCAGTTAGTGGAACGGGGTGGCGGGGGCGTCCCCCAGTACAAATCACTAAACCAGATCCCACTAGACCCAGTTCTGCCAACGCCCGATTCTGGCCAGGCCAGAAGATATCCCGGCAGAGGTCCAGGAGGTAGCGGTATCGGTCTCGTCCCGCCCCCCCCGCCATCAACACTGGCGACATGCTCGGGTGCGCCCTGGTGGGCGCGATCGGCTGCGGCGCTACGGGCGCGGCTGGCTGCATTGCGGCGGACGTGGTCATTCAGCCCTGGCAGTGCATCCGCCTCAGAAGCCCAGACGTGGATCTCCAGCCTTGGCAGGTGGTGGTCTTGCACCCGGTGCTGGCAGTTGGGAAGTGCAGGACCAGCGACGACGACGGCTCCCTCGACGCACAGGTGCCCAGCCAGGCAGTGTTAGTTGGGAAGCGCTGGGCCGACGACGACGGCTCCCGCGACGCAGGGGTGCCCAGCCTGGCAATTGCCGGTTGAGGGCCGCCGCGTGTGTCAGCGCAGGTTGTCGCCGCCCCGCAGCCGTCCCGAGGCCTCCCCGGCGATTCTGCGGGCTGGCTCGGACTCCTCGGGGCGGCGCCGGTCGAGGGGAATGCCTCGGCGTCTGTCGTGCAGCTGTCGGCCGAGGCATGGCCTCTTGGCACGGGGCCAGCCGCGGGCCCGAGCGCAGCGCCCTCCGTGAGATCGCACGCCCAGCTGTCGCCGACCACCGTTACGTAGGCGGGGGCGGCGATTTCATGCTGCCGAGAGTCGCTTGAAACGAAGCCTCGTGGACTACGTGGCTCACCGTGCCCCCCTTGCTCCGTCCCAATAACTTCTCTGCTTTTTGCGCTGTATATTTCGCGATGCGGGCCATATTGCCCGGGCAGGATCCGCTTCGCCCTCCTTGGCGGAGGTGGCGAAGTCATGCTGCCGAGAGTCGCTTGAATAAAGCCTCGCGGATTGCGTGGTTCACCGTGCCCCCTTCCTCCGTCCCAATTTCCGTAAGGGCTTCGCCCCCTGCCACCGGCCCCCTCTCTACCATAATGGGACATATCAGAGTCTCGTTGGTGCGCCTCGGCTTTACCTTGGCGCATCTAGGAACATCATGCGGGGGCGGATACGGGTCGTCAGCGCATTTTCAGACGTTGGTGTTATCGAAGACGCCTACGGCGAATCACCGCCGCCGCCTGCCTTTTTGGAAGCGCCAGCGTGGCCGAAAGTTGGGCTTGAGCTTGGCCGTACTATCGCGCCACGCGTTCCCCGAGTCGGTTTCGAAAGCCTTCGGGGAACACGGAATCGGGCGACCTACTGGACCAGGTGGTTTCCGAGCTTTCGGGCATCCTGGAGGACGTCTGTGAGGGGTCTTGGGCCGTCTTGGAGGCCTCTGGCGGGTCTTTTGGACAGTCCAAGGGCATCTTCAGGCCATCTGGGGCCGTTTTGGGTGCATCTTGGGGCCATCTTCGCCGTCTTGGAGGCCTTGGCCGTCTTGGAGGCATCTTGGAGGCCATCTTGGCCGTCTAGGCCATCTTGGACGTCTTGGGGGCCTCTTGGGCCGTCTTGGGGTCTTGTTGGGGCCCTCTTGGGAACCTCTTGGGCTGTCATGGGGCCATCTTGGAGGCCTCTTAGGCGCTATTGGGGCGATGTTGGGGGCCTCTTGGGCCGTCTTGGGCCGGCGGAGAACTGAAAATATTATAATGCCAACATCCTTCAAACACCGAAGGAAACTCACTGATTTTGGCCTCTTCGGGCCCTCCTGGTGGAGCTCTTGGTGGCGTCTTGGGGCTCTCTTGGGCAGTCTTAGGTCATCTTGGAGCCAACTTGGGCAGTCTGGGAGGCATCGTGGGCGCCTCTTGGGCCACCTTCGGCTCTCTTGGGGATATTTCTGCCGTCTTGGATGCCATCTTGGTCATCCTGGAGATCAGCTTGACAGTCTTGAGGTATCTTGGAGACCACCTTGGCAGTTTTTGAGACCTTGGGCCGTTTTGGGGCCCTCTTGGAGCTGGCTTGAAGGCCTCTTGGGCCGTTCTGGAGCCATCTGGGAGGCCCCTGGGACTAGTTTGGGGACTCCTTGGGCCGTCTTAGGCGGTCGGAACACCAACACCGAGGAAAACCAAACATCCCTCAAACACCTAAGGAGCAAGGAACATTTAAGATGTTGGCTCCCACGGGCCTTCCTGGAGCACCTCTTGGACTCCTTGCGGGGAATATTAGAACCTCTCGGGTCCATCTTGGGCCATCTTGGCCGTCTTAGCGGCCATCTTGGCCGTCTTGAAGGTCATCTTGACCGTGTTTCAAGCATCTTGGAGGCCATCTTGGCCGTCTTGGAGACCGTCTTGGGCGTCTTGGAGGCCTCTGGAGCCGTCTTGGCGCCCTCTTTGGGCCGTCTTGGGGGTCTCTTGGGCCGTCATAGGGCCGAGGTCTCTGGGGCGCTCTGGGGGCGATCTGTCGGGCTCCTTGGGTCGTCGTGAGCCGTCTGAAGGCTCGAAACCAACAACAGCCACCATCCTTCAAACACCTGAGGACAACATTGATTTTGACCTCTTCGGGCTCTCGTGGAGGACCTCTTTGAGGCTTCTCGGGCCGTCTTGGCGGCCTCTTGGAGGCGTCTGGTGCCATCTTGGGCGGCCTGAGAGGTTTCTTGTACGAACTTGGAGGCATCCTGGACTCTCCTGGGCTGCCTTGGAGACCATCGTGGACCATCTTGGGCGAACCTGGAGGCCAGGAAGCCATATTGGAGCCGTCTGGAGCCGAAAAGCAATTTACAACCACCTGTTATGCATCTCCGACGGGACGGGCCGAAACCCCAGTGGGAGTTCTTTTAGAAAGGAACACAACCAAACGCGAAAGGGTCTAGCACGCCAGGCACCTCTGTGATGAATCAACATGGGGGCGGCGGATCGAAGACGCCTACGGCGAGTCACCGCCGCCCCCTGCCCTTTCGGAAGCGCCTATCTGGCCGAACGTTGAGGCCAGAGCCCTGCCAAGCTATCGGACCATGTGTTCCCCGAATCGGTTTCGAAAGCCTTCGGGGAACACGTGGGTGAGGACGGGGAAGAGGAGGAGAGTGAGGACTGGGCGTGTTCGGGGCCCCTTGGGGGCTCGTGTGCGCTTTTTGATGCGTCTTGGGGCCGGCTGGTCAAAGGTTGGGTCATATCCTTGCCAATCTTTCGGAACGATTGTTCCCCGACTCGGTTTGGAAAGCTTTTGGGGAACACGTGGAGGAGGTTGGGGAAGAGGAGGAGAGCGAGGAAAAAGGGGAAGGGATGACGAGTCCTCTTGGGAGCCTCTTGAGGCACTCTGGGGCTCAATTGGGCCATCTTGGCTGTCTTTGGATGTATTTTTGGTTGGACCGTTATGGAGGCCAAATTGGAGTGACATTGGTCTCTCTTGGTTCCACCTTGGACGCATCTTGGAGGCCAGCTTGTGCCATATTGGCCGTCTTGGAGGCGTCTTGAGACAGTCGTGAGGCGTCGTGGACTCTGAGGTCCTTAATTGTCGTTCCATTTTACGAAGATCATAGCTCTTCGTCCGAAATTGGCTTGCTTAATGTTGGATTGTGTCATAGGCATTTGTTCCCTGAAGGTCATCTTGGCCGTCTGGAGGCCATGTTGGCCCTTTCGGGCCTTCCTGGAGGACGTCTTGGAGGACTCTTGGGCCGTCTTGGAGGCCTCTTGCGGGCCTCTTGGGCAGCCTAAGGCCATTTTGATGCCATCTGGGGCCGTCTTGGGTGCATCTTGGGGCCATCTTCGTTGTCTTGGAGGCCTTCTTGGCCGTCTTGGAGGCATCTTGGAGGCCATCTTGGCCGTCTCGGAGGCCATCTTTGGCGTCTTCGGGGCCATCTTGGGCCGTCTTGGGCTCTTCTTGGGGCCCTCTTGGGGGCCTTTTGGGCTGTCATGGGGCCATCTTGGAGGCCTCTTGGGCTGTCTTGGGCCGTCGGAGAGCCTAACAGAAGAACATGCCAACATCCTTCAAACACCGCAGGCCACTCAATGATTTGTGCCCTTTGGGGCCTTCCTGGAGAACGTCTTGGATGCCTCTTGGGGGCCTCTTGGCCAGTCTGAGGCCATCTTGGAGCCATCTTGGGCCGTCTTGGAGGCTTCTCGCACGAACTTGAAGGCATCTTGGACTCTTTCGGGCCGTTTTGGAAGCCATCTTGGACCATATTTGGCGACTGGGAGGCCATCTTGGAGGCCATCTTGGGCCAACGTGATCATCTTAGAGGCCATCTTGAGCCGTCTAGGATATTTTTGTTGCAGTCGTTGAAGTTCCTTTCGGTTGGCCGGCGGGACGGACCGACGCCCCAGGGATAGTTCTTTTGGGAAAAATATCAAAACCAAAAGCGAAAGGATTCAGCACGCCAGGCACCCCTGTGATGAATCGACAGGGGGCGGCGGATCGAAGACGCCTACGGCGAATCACCGCCGCCCCCTGGTCTTCTATAATCGCCCATGTGGCCGAGCGTTGTGGCAAGAGCTATTCCAAGCTATCGGACCATGTGTTCCCCCAGCCGTTGTGGAAACCCTTCGGGGAACACGTGGGGGAGGATGGCGGGGAAGATCAGGAGGAGGCAAGGGAGCAGGTGGAGGAGGAGGAGGTGGAGGAGAAGGAGAAGGATGCGAAGCAGGAGGAGGAGGGGGCATCTTGGGAGCCTTTTGGGACACTCTTGGAGCCTCCTGGGAGCTTCCTGGGAGCTTCTTGGAGGCCACTTGGGGGCCTTCGGGGGGCTTCCGTCTGACGCCGTCGGAAACCGTCTTGGGGGCCACTCTGGGCCCACTTCGGGCCCTCTTGGGGTGCTCCAGGGCAGTCTTGGAGGCCATCTTGGGCGTCTTGGAGGGCTCTTGGGCCGTCTTGGAGGCCATCTTGGGCCCGTCTTGGAGGCCTCTTGGGCGATCTGGGGGGCGATCTTTGGGGGCTCTTGGGCCGTCTCGGGCCGTCGGAAGGCCGAAAATAAGGAAATGTCACACTATTTGAAACACCTACGGAATATCAATGATTGTGGCCTCTTCAGGCTTTCCTCGGGGCTCTCTTGGAGGCCTCTTGGGCCGCCTTGGGCCATCTTAGGGCCATCTTCGGCCGTCTTGGTGGGTCCCTGGCCCGTCTGACGCCGTCGGAAGCCGTCTTGGGGGCCTCTCTGGGCCGACTTGGGGGCCTCTTGGAATGCTCTAGGGCCATCTTGGAAACTGTCTTGAGCGTCTTGGAGGCATCTTGGGCCGTCGTTGGACCCTCTTGGGCCGTCTTGGGGGCCTCTTGGGCCGTTATGTGGCCATCTTGGAGGCCTATTGGGCGATCTTTTGGGCCTCCTGGGCCGTCTCGGACCGTCGGAAGGCCGAAAATAACTACCAACATCCTGCAACACTCAAAGGAACACCACTGATGTTGGCCTCTTCGGGCCTTTCTGGGGGCTCTCTTGGAGGCCTCGTAGGCCATCTCAGAGCCATCTTGGGCCGTCTTGGTGGGCTTCTGGCCCGTCTGACGCCGTCGGAAGCCGTTTTGGGGGCCTCTCTGGGCCGACGTAGGGCCTTCTTGGAATGCTCCAGGGCCGTCTTGGAGGCCATCTTGGGCTTCTTGAAGGCCTCCTGGGCAGTCTTGGCGGCTGTCTTTGGCGCATCTTGGGCCGTGCTGGTGCCATCTTGGAGGCCTCTTGG